AAAAAACTTACTCCTTAGCATTTCCTAGGTGGTTTCCTCCTCAATACGTCCGACGTACACTATGCGGCGTTCTTCAACGGCTTTTGTAGTCCTGTTATGTGGTATGTATCCCTTTTTTCAATATTTAAGAACCTTGTATTCAAAATATCACACGCGGTTAATGCCAAATCGACAACGTGCTCCTTCTTACTTTTGCTTTGTGCTTAGCTTCCGCGCCAGCTTTCACCGATTTTACCTTACTTTTTTTACTTAATTTCACTGTTTTTAATAAAAATTCACTTATTTTTTGGAATATAGTTTTTTTTTGTTTTTTTAACCATTTGCCTCCATTTGGGCAGCACACACGTCTCTCAAACGGGGAAATTTTCACGAGGCCGCGCGACAGCAACGGTGGTCCATTTGCTTGTGTTTTGTTTTTACCCGTTCCGAATGGTATCGGTTGTCGAACAAATATGTAAATGGTTGACTGCAGAGTTGCCAGCGGGTTTTTATACCTTTCCACTGCGGGAAATTAGTTATTCGCGCTGGAAGAATAACGGGCACTGCGTCATTTGGACTGCTTCCGTTATTCTTCCACCGGGAATTTGCCGCAGTGCAAGGAGGAATGTCAAAAGAGTGTTCGAGGCTGTCCGGGGTTACCATGACCCCGTTGTGCAATTCCGAACCGGCTCATTTTTCACTTTGGTTTCCATGTATTTACTACGGCGGATGAACAATTATCGGACGAAACTCAGGATAAGGCAGAATATTGTTGGCAGTGATAGAAGTTAAAATCAAAATGTAATCTGATAAATTTGGAAAAGAACGTACGTTACTTGCAGGTTATAAAATAGATGTAAATTTAACAGTTTCAGCAACACACAAAATAGAGCGTTTGTGTGGTTTTTCACTTGTCAAAATTTTCCTTTTCGTTTGGCACAGCCAGATACTATTTATTTGTACCCCGTAGCAAATTTTCCCCACAATCTCACCATGGATAAAAGTTACCGGTTGGCACACATATTATATCGGAATATCGATAATGTTTCCGCCAGAATGTTTTAGTACAAAGGGAAACATAGCTGTCAAATTACCAAGTTATCGTAATAGATGCCAAGATATAAGCCCTGATATGTATTGTGCCCCACATTCCAACAGATGTGTCAAGTTCTAAATTCCATCCTGTGAAGACGGCAGTTACAGACAGCTATCACCAACTATC